CTAGCAACAACAAGAAAATCACCACCATCACGTTGTTGATTCTTTCCATTTTTTTGTGTGGGAATTGCTAGATTTTTCAACACTGTTTTTGGTCAAAACATCATGACGGAGTGAACCAACAAACCAACACAATTTGTTGCTTTGCATACTTTTTTCCTTCCGATACAACGTCAATCCCAATCGTCATCATTTTCCGTACATCAATATTTGTTACCGTAATCACAACAATTAAAAATGTTGAAGGAGATGTGAGGGTTAACCTCGTGCGAAATACTAGAATTTTGAATACTATAGTGTGATGATTTTCATACTTTCTTTTGGTGATGATGAATATCAACTATTGTATTTTTTTAAATTGTTAAATAATAATAATATTTAAGAGTGATTAATAATTAATAATATCAAATTGAATATTAGGGATATTTCAAAATAATGAAGAACACACCAAGTTGGTTTTCAATACTCTAAATCTAATGGTTATTGAGTTAATTCGAATTCCTAGTAATATGTGTATGAAACTTCAGAACAGATTACAACAAAATGGAAAGGTTACATTGAAATAACGGTTTCACTTTAAATGATTGGTTATAATCAACTTACTGGTTGGTTGATAGCACTACTTTTTAACACAACTAAAAAAAATGCAAGACTCAGATGAAACATTCATTATCAGAAACATTCAACAATATGAAGAAGTAGACATGCCACTCAGTGCCTTGTTACTTCAAATCGTTCAATCCTATGGTTTCCAGTTGAAAGACCATTCACAATTTGACGACTTGGAAAGAAAAATAAGAGAATCGGCAATTTCCACCTCGGGCTCTGAACTTTCTGATAAAGAATTGCAAGAAATTTCAAAGTTGGCACAACAAGCAGAACCATTATTGACAGAAAAATCAAAAATTAGAGGAGCTTTGAGAGAAAGAATGATACTTGTTGCTCCTCGAGTTTATGAAAAGCTTGGTGAAGTTGTTGGAGCTAGAATGATCCAAAAGTTTGGATTAGAAAACATGATTAATCAGGAATAATAAATACAGTTGACCATTAACTGAACAATGTGTGTTTTGTAGAATTCTCCCGAGGTAAACTTTGTGTAAAATTAGCAAGGAAAAATATTCCATTTTAATTGTTATTTGAACTAGAGGGGTTATTATCAAGATACTAATCGAGATTCATCAAGGGAAGTAAGGCCGAGACTGACCCAAATGCCCTGAGATAAAACCTAATGAATTTTCTACGTTCCATCATCAACGTGGTTGATGATCAACAACTGGGACACTTTATCTTGTTCCTACTGTCTATTCAAACTTCTTTGCAATTTCCTTCTTTTTCCATTCCAATCTCCTAAGCAATTAATTCCAACCTTTCTTTTGCACAGTTGAAATGCAAAAAGATTCGACAGAACATTCAAAGCATGTCCAAGATTTGTTGCATGAACTAGAATCACTGACTCACAGCCATTATCCAAAGTTTAGATAAAAAAATGTCTGAACTAGACGAAAGCGACTGTTGTTTGAGCTGTATTAATTCTTCATTCAAAAGTCTCGAAGAAAAACAGGAAGAGCTCATTTCCATGTATTTTTGTTGCTGTTTCCTCTTTTTTCCCCCTTTGGCTTTCTATTTAATGTTTAAACGAATTGGACGAATCAGTTGGAAAGTTATTGGAGTTTCAACAGTTTTAACTTTCTTTTGTTGGATACCTGGAGTAATCCATGGACTTGTCAAGTTTTTCAAGCTGAGAAAGGCACTTGTTACATTTGGTGGAAAGGTTTAAATTTGTTTCATTCCATGAATTCAATCAATTTTCGCTTATTTATATTTTTCCAATTTTGATTTTTCAAATTTTCCCTTAATCCGAGATGAATCCAATGATTTTTCTCATCCACAACAATAAATCCATCACTTGCATAATATCATGTTTTTCAAAGTTGTGCAATTCTTGAATTGAATGAGCTAATTAAAAATATCGTTTAGATAACCCAATCAAGTGCTTGGGAATTCTCAAGCACCTTTCAATGTGGAGATGTAATCATATGATACGCTTCACGTTGTTACCTTCATACTGAATGCAACCATTCAAGCTAACCAACATTTCAAAGATACTTTTTTAAAATTGATTAAAAACCTTCAAGCCTGAAAAAGATTCAAAAATATTTAATTAGCATTAAAAAAAAATCACAACAGGAAGACTTTGATTTTCTATAGAACGAGTCTTTTTTAATCAAATTTTGTTTTAATAACATCATAGCTTGTAAGCCAATACAACAATGAGTAATTATAGTGATCATCAGAAGAGTGGTAATTCTTCTTACGCATCTTCTAGTAATAATAATAGCCGAGGAGGAAAAAGACCATCCAGAGGTAGAGGAAATTATCATCATACAAGTAGTGCTGGTGGTAGTGGCAGCAGTGTTAGTGGTGGTTACCATCATCATCATGCCTCCCAACCACAACAGCCTCCACAACAACAACAACAACATGTTAGAGAGGGTCCACCAAAATACAAAAAGAAACAACCTCTCGCTTTTGTCAAGATTCCATCTTCAAGTAGTGTTGAAGAACAAGAAGCTAAGAAACAAAAACAAGAAACCAAAATTGTAAATAATAATACAATTAATGATGAACAAGTTGATGCCGATGATGAATTAGGCCTCGATGTTGCAGACTTTATTCCAACATACATCAACAGATTCCGTGAACTTTTGACCACATTGTATAGTAATAGCCAATTAAATCAAGACCAATTGTTAAATATTGCAAATAGAATTTGGAGTGAAGTTTTAGAACCAACACTTCTTGCCGAATTAAATCCAAGCCTAGAATCACTCTATACAGCATCATCTAGGAAGGGAAAACTCACGAATTTTATTGGTGATAAGGATATTAGACTTGTCACAGTAATAATGGGCATTGATAAGCTGATTACTAAGGTTCATCATTCTAGTAGCATTGTAGAAGTTGTTCCAGAATTCATTTTACATCAAAAGGGTATTAAAGTTGAAGGAGATGATAGAATTATTGAGTTGCTTCCTCAATTTGATACACTCTTTTTCGAGATATTAACACATGAAACAAGAAGAATTTGGAGACAATCCAACTCTGATATGAGTATTAGTATTTCCAATTTTGAAACTGATTTTAACAAGTCTCTGGTTGGTTGTAATATTTCTCAATTTGAGAAGCAAATTGAGGAATTAAAGAATGAAATTGAGCAATTGAAAAAGTCAGAATCTATCTATGCAAAGAAGAGAAAGGAAATTGAGAATGAAATTGATCGTTTAATGGAAAAGTCTTTGGACTTGATTGATTTGGTTGAAGAAGCCGAGAAGGAAGAAAAGCTTTCCAAGAGAACCATGTCTAGTCGTTCATTGTCAGAAGAATCTGATGAAACTACAGAGGATGAAGCAATCACACCAAAGACCTCACAACCACCAGTTGTAGAACAAATTCTTCCAACAACAAATGTCAGCCAAGAAGGCAAGACTGTCTTTTTGCAAAAGATTGCAGCACTCATCAAGGTTGCCCAAGCTGAAGAAACAGAAAGTTCCGAAAAGCTCAAAACCTACTCTACCATTGCTTCAATGATTGATGCCTCTTTCAATTATTTCAAGGATAAGAGTAATCAAACTGAAGGTATTGTTCCTTTGAGCTATTCTTCGATATCAACACCAACCATTCTCTTCTTGTTGGACTTTTTTAAGGAAAATCCTGAAAAGATTCCATCCAGTGTTATTTCCAAGGTTTTGTCATTGACATCTTGCTCTTTGAAGGGAAGAAGATTTGAGGAAAAGAATGAAATATTTGCTCGATATCATGTTGTTTTGATGCATTTTACCAAGTATCTTACTATCAGAAAGATGGAACTTTTCATGAATCTTATGAATAAGATTTCTTCTTCTCTCAATGGTGTTGATTCTGAATTTATCTTTTCTCTCTTGAAACAAAATGCTCCTACACAATATAGAAATGGTAATACTCTTATGGGATTCTCAGATAGAGTTAACTTGGTAAGATTGTGGCAAGTACAAGCATTCTGTGCTACTCTCGTTATGACTAATCCAAAACTTGCCAATCAAATTTTCACCTTCTATGAACGTCACTGTCTCTCATGGATGAATCTTTGGGAAGAAATCAAAAATGTTTGCCTCAGAGAAACATCACTCACTGCCGTAAAGAAGAAGAAACAAAAGAACGACCTAGCTTCATCATCAAACGTAGCTAGTGCATCTTCATCTGAAAAGGAAGAGTCTGAAGTTGTAGCTGTTGCCTCTCAAATTACAGAAAAGGTGCAATCACAAGTTGCCATTAGTGAATCACTCGAAACTGACATTCAGAATATTGAAACTCAATTAGGTAAATCTCCTGAAGTTTTAAAACAAGAAGCTGAAGAACATACCATGCTTCAAATAACTAGAGATTGTACCAAGATTTTCAAGGAAGAACTCGAACCAAGTGAGGAAGAACGTAAGGGTAAGAAAGAATTGGTAGATGAAATTTCTCAAGTTATTCAATCCCTCTTCTCTTCTAATCAAAATATTGGAGATCAACAAGTTCAACCACCAAAGATTTATACCTATGGTTCCTATGCTAGCGACTTGAGTTTAAAGGGTTCCAGTGATATTGATATGTGTGTTTCATTTGCAGGTTTGGAGAATATTCAAGAAAACAGCAAGATCCAAGGTAGATTATTGGAAATGATAAGAAAGGAAATGGACGGAAAGAGTAAGAAGGATACCAACACTCTCTTCCCTCATTTGAAATCCCAAAATCAAGAAGTTATCAGAAGCAGTAGAGTACCAATTCTCAAGATTCATGATAACAAGAGAGATTTGGATTGCGATCTCTGTGTTGCCACCTATTTGGGTGTAGTTAACACTAGAATGATCAGCACTTATTTGCAAGTCGATTCAAGAATGTTGGCCTACTATAAGGAAAATGGTTTGGCAACCCTTGCTGATTCTGAAATTGATAGAATCAAGACCTTTATTTACATGATCAAGAGATGGGCCAAGAGAAGACATATCAATGATCCTCCAGGTGGTTCACTTTCATCATACAGTTATGTTCTCATGTGTCTTCAATTTTTGCAACATTTAGAAATTTTACCATCCCTCCAACAAATTGCTGAAGATACATCACTTGGATTAACTGACGAAGATTATTCCAAGCCACAACATGTCAATGCTTATAATACCAAGTATTTGAAGAATTTGGAAAAGCTTCCAACTATTTGGAAAGCCAAGAACCCTCAAAAGGTTGCTTCCTATACACTTGGTCACTTGATCTACTTGTTCTTTGAATTCTATGCTAAGAAGTTTGACTTTGATACTAATTGTATCTCAATTAGAGCTGGTAGTCCAGTTCCAAAGAAAAATGCCAAGACTATTATTTCACTTGAAGATCCATTCGAAATTCGTGATCTTGGATGTGTTGTTTCTAATGAAATGGGTCCTGTCATTGTTTCTGAATTTAGAAGATCTCATGAAATTTTGTCTGCTGGTGGTTCTATCAATGACTTGCTTGAGGAAAGAGAAGGAGTCTCCTCTGTTAATATTTATCAAATGAAGAGAGAAGTAGGAAAACAAGGTTATGATGATTACTTAGCCAGTGAAGCTGTTGATGAAATGTTGGCCAAGGGCGAACTTTATCAAGGTGAATTGAGAGTCAATAAGAAGCGTTTCACAACTGAGGCCTATGTTTCAGTTGAAGGTTTTAAAAAGGATGTCTTGGTTGAAGGCCTTAAGAATCGTAACAGAGCAATGCATGGTGATGTTGTTGCCATTAAGATTCAAAAGACCAAGGTTGTTGCTGGTTCTGTCATGAGCAATACTCAACAAGAATCTGCTAAGAGTCCAGAAGATACTGAACCTGCCACTGAAAAGATTGAAGTCGTAGCAACTGATTCTAATCTTGATGAGTCTGATGAAAATGTAATGATAACTGGTGTTGTTGTTTCGATCTTGAAGAAGAAATCACCATCTATTTTCCCATGTACTTTAATGGCTCAAGATGATATTAGAGGTTACAGATGGCTGTTACCACTCGAAAAGACCTATCCAAAGCTCAACGTTCCTTTCGAAGAATTTGAAAAACAATTCAATGCCAAATCTATTACTTTGGAAGAAGGTATTTTCGTTGTTGAAATGAAACCTTGGAATAAGAATTCAAACTTCCCTAAGGGTGCTATTATTGGTTGCCTTGGTTTGAAGAAGGATTTGTGGAGTTTAAAGAGAGCTCTCCTCCTTCAATACTGTCCAATTATGTTTGATAATATTTTCTCTGAAAGAAAGGTTGATAGAGACACTGAAAAGGAAATTACTTCTGCAACTTCAAGTTCTGTTATGAGTCAATCCATGGCAGGATCTACTGCAGGAAGTGTCGTGGCCAAATCTGGTCTCGAAACTCATGCAGATGATGTTAAAAGAAGAAGTGATTATGGTCAAAATCAAGTTGCAAACATTGGTGATACTATCAGTGATATCAAACTTGAATCAGTTTCTTCAGATGAAATTATTCAAATTCAAGACTGGAGAGAATCGAGAAGAATTTTCACTATCGATCCTACTGAATCCAGAGATCTTGACGATGCTATCGCCATTGAACCAATTCTTGAGAATGGCCAACAACTTAACAATGATGCCTACCGTAAACCATATGCTGGTGTTCGTAAATTCTTAGTCACTGTTGCCATTGCTGATGTTTCTCAATTTGTTCCTGAAGGTTCACCAATTGATAAGGAAGCCAGAAAGAGAGGTACCAGTGTTTACATGGTCAATAGTGTTGAACATATGCTTGATCCTTCATTGTCTCAAAATCTTTGCAGTTTGCACGGAGGTGTCAATCGTTTTGGTGTTGCTGTTGAATTTGTAATTGATAGAGAAACTGCTACCATTGAAAAGAGTAGTATCAAGTTTAATAGATGCATGATGAGATCCGCATGTCGTTTGGACTACAACAGAGCCCAAAAGATGATTGTTCACTACAAGAATAAGTTCTTTAATGGTCAAAATGAGACTGATCCAAAACGTAGATATGGTCTTGAACCAGAAGAAGTCCCAGCTGTCTATGGCTCTTTTACCTTGGATGAAATTTATGAAGATGTTCAAATTTTCAATGAACTTTCTCAAAAGTTGAGAAAGCAAAGAGCTGATAAGGGAAGTATTTTCTTGCAAAACGAACAACTTCGTTTCGAATGTGACATGGATGGTAAAGGTTTCCCATTGAAGGTTGCCTGTGATGAACATAATGAATCCCACATGCTCATTGAAGAAATGATGTTGGTTGCTAACGAACTTGCTGCTACCGTTTTGAATGATCATTTTGGTGATGCAACCTTGTTGAGAGTTCACTCCTCTCCAAAGGTTGAAAAATGGGCTGTCACTGTTTCATTGCTTGCTGATAAGATTTACAAGTGGAAGCTTGACAATGTTACCAGATCAGGTATTGCAGTTGAAGCAGAAAAGGAAAAGGCTCACGTTTTAGATAAGTTGGAAAAGTGCGTTAAACATGTAACAAAGGGAGCTGAAAACAATGAGAAGCCAATTACAATTCAAAACATTATCAATCTCCTCATTGAATCCACCAAGGATTATCCAACATTGATGCATACTATTCAACACAGTCTTTTGAGAGAAATGCAATTGGCTCAATACGCCACTGTTGGAGATTGTAAGAAGGGAAAAGAAACTACTAAGGAAATTGTTGTTGAACCAACAGATATTGGCTCCAAGAGAATGGTTCCTAAGAAGCAATTTGAGAATACTTGGCATTTTGCTTTGTGCAAGGAATTCTACACTCACTTTACTTCTCCAATCAGAAGATATGCCGATTTGGTTGTTCACAGATTGTTGCTTCAAATGATTCGTGAAAAGAGACTCAAGGAAATGAATCAATCAGATGAATCTATTCTCAGTAAGAGAGAAACTTCCTTGTCAGCTCAAGAAATTTCCTCCATTGCTGAACATCTTAATGATCAAGCCTATAGAGCAAGATTACTCCAAGACGAATGCGAAAAGCAATACTTGGCATATTATTTGTGGCCAAAACTTTCCAAGTCTGTTGAAAGAGTTGAAGCAGTTGTCTTGTCTATGGGTAAGAGAAGTTTCACCCTCTTTGTACCAAAATACGGTCTCGAACTCCAAGTTAATGCTATGAAGCACTTCTCCCCAACTCCTACCACACTCAAGATGGACGAAATTGAAATGGAAAGCCTTGTTTCAAACAGTATTTTGAAATTAGGATCTCAAAGTGGTGAAGATGAAGATGCTCCAGTTATTGGTGGTACTATTATTGAAAAATTGACCATCACCTGGTCTGGTGCTTCACAAGCCCTTATTTCTGTGGATGATGACGAAAATTCAGCTCCTACAGACTCTGTTCCTGTTGCCTCTCAACATAACAAAACTATTGAGCTCAAACCACTTAAACAAGTTCTTGTTGATTTGGACATTAATACCTCGTCTGTTCCTCTTGAAATTATTTGTTACAATATTTGGGAAAAGGATGAAAATTTGATCAATAATGAGTTCAGTAAGAAGATTATTGATAAGAATACCAAGGCTGTCTGCAGTAGAAATGCACATGGTTCCAAGCAATTCTCCTCTGATAGTACTACAGCTGTCCTCAAGAGCTCATCAGAAGCTCAAGGCAAGCAAATGGAAAAGCTTATCGATAACATGCAAAAGATCAATAGAAGAAAGAAATTCTTTGAACAAGACAATAACAACAATTCATCTCCATACACATCAGGAGGAGGTTCTTCTTCATCAGGCCCTAACAATAATTTTGAAAGAAGAGGAAAACCATTTGCAAGAGGAGGTGGTAACGTGAATTCAAGAGGAGGTGGTTCCAGAAGACAATACAATCAATAATTCTCTTCACGAATAAATTTCTTTAAATTCAAATCCACC